ATTTTTTAAGCCTTGTTTTTAACCAGCCCCATTGCCATGGCAACAGCACACAACTTAGCCAAAATGCGAGAATAAACCGTTCTGTGGTTAACCTTGACTCTTACAAAAAACGGGCGCCATAGCATTAATAGTTTAAAACTAATGGTGAATTAGGCATAGCCACTTGAAAACTGTGTTTGGCCACCTTAAAAGAACTCAGGAAACAATAACCTGCATAATTGGTGGTTTCAGTGGGCTTTTGTGGACCGGAATGAATGGCAGAGACAAAACCAGGATAAGAATGGTAGTTTCTCCCTATTCCTTGTCCACCATTCTTCGCAGGGCTTTGACTTTGCTGTCTGTTCACGCCATAAAAGCCCACCGAAAACCGTCCTGGAGGATGCTCCCTGATAATAATATGGGCTATATTGGTATGTGCGCCCCAAAGGGTATGGTTTTTCAGCTGTTTTTTGGTCATAAATAGGGTATCGATCTTGCCCATTTTGGTAATAAATAGGAATGGTTTTTGCACTGTAGTCTTGAATTGGGTATGTTTTTTTAGAAGCTTCTTTTTTATCATTATCGATAAGACCATGAGCAAAAGTCCTTCACAGTGCCTTTAATGTCCGTCTCAACTAGGTAACTAAGGCAGGCCTAAAACAGGATATTGTTTAAATGATCAGGTCATAAATAAGGTATCGAACTTTAACCAAGTGTTAGCACTATAGTGGATGAATACCGGCCCAAGGTCTTGACACTACGGACCTAGTGCAGACCGACTTGGAAATTTTTTGTTGTGCAAACACTTCTATAGCCATGCTTCAATCCTGTCAGAGTTTCAGGTTGATTTCTTTTGTCTTGTACATGCCTGGATTATATGGTTGCTTTGCAGCTATTTTTTTGTTTTTTTTGTTTTTATCTACAGCCCTCGCAGTCGTATATGATTAATTCATTTAGTACCAATATTTTATTGCCACAATACTTTAATTAATAATAATATTTTCACATTTTTTTTTAACATGGTAAAAGCAAGTTCAGAATAGCACTATACTTTTGTACACTATAAAATATTAATTCAAGAAATACTTATTTGGAAATGTTTGGTTTGTTATAGAATGATTCTGAAGTGGATGCCAATGGAGAGGTTGAGGTGACAACAGCACCTCGCCTTATTTCAACTGGGGATATTTCGATGACATCCAGTGATTGATGCTAGCAGCGGAAGACATGGTCGTGTGCAAATTCAAGAAATTTGATACTGTAAATGCCTTTTTAAGCCTAATAGGCAGCTACTTCCTATTTACCCAAAGGGTCCAGGTGGCTAAAGCAAAAACACATATCTATTTTTAGAGAAAATTTTATTGTCAAATTTTATAAAGCAGAATAGACCTGCTCAGCTTCCGATTGGTGTGTAAACGGTAGTAATGCAGCTTAAGTAATGCATCATATCACTGTAACATTAGTATTACCCCACTGTAACAAATTACGGAGATTCATCAGTTTTCCAAGGATAAGCATTTTTGTCAAAGTATATCTCTTCAGTTCCCTGCCCCCAGGTGGGGATTGGGCCAGGTTTCAAACTATATTGTTCTAGTTTAAAACACTGTATTATTTTTGAAGGGTAGTTATTAAAGAAAGCTGCAACAAAAAATATCTGTGAATATGATCTATTTTCTGTTGTCATTTCAACTTATTAAAAACAGTTATTACTACTGATACATTTGGGGTTAAAATAGCAAATTTGTTTAACCGATTTTTTTTTTAGTTAAATTGACAAGAAGTAACTAAAAAAAAAAGGGTTCTCTCAGATGCATCCCGGATACCTTTTTAATTAGTCAAATTAACCAATTTGTTTGGTTACGAAACGAAAAAAGAATAGTCATTTTAACCAAAGGTAATGGTTGTTCTAACTTATAATAAACAGGTTAAAACTACTAATTCTAATTGGTTAAAATGACATGAAAACTGGCGGCATAGCAACTTAAAAAAAATGGTGGAAACAAACCAATCAATTGTTATTATGATTATAATAATTAGTTGTTTCAAACTAAGAGAAACCAGTTAATTCAAACCATTTTAAATGGTGATAACAACCCCCCAAAAAGGGTTCTCTCAGATGCATTTGGCAACATTTTTAAATGGTTATTTTAACTAGTCAGTTTTTACAGTGTACCAGCAGATCAAACTTAGCTAAAAGCACCCTGTTCCCTCCAGTTGTAATCATCTTATTACAGTGCTAAAATGTTATCAAATAGGTTTTTAATGGGATTAACAATTATTTTAAGCCTTAGCCAATTGCGGTGATCCTGGTGTCCCATTGAACGGACTAAAACGCGGCTCGCGACACTGGACTGGAGAATGTGTTTCGTTTATTTGTCATCCGGGATATCGCTTGATTGGACCGACCACAAGAGTGTGTCTGTCTTCTGGTAACTGGAGTGGTATCCAGCCTTCATGTAAGTGAATGTACAACGTAAGCTATGACAAACAACTAAACATGTTACGTAATAACTATGTTGCGTTTTCAATCACACATGATCTGACAGCAAAGTATACATGAAAACGCTGTTTCAAAATAATAAACTCTTATTAACAAAGCGCTAGAGCCGTACAGGGAGATATTTGTCCGAGGTCGTGGTAGTTCGGAAGGAGAGTAGCGAGGTCCGCAGTAAAACGACCAACGGTCAAATATTGGCAGTACATCTCGAGTAAGCTAGATTAGAAATTAGGTTGTTATGTGGCAAAAAACCAAAATACATGGCTCATAACTGTTTCCGTAGAAAAGGTTCATATGGGGAAATCCTGGCAAGAAAGAAACAATCAAAACGGTCTGATTTACCTCAAGACTTCCCTGCCATAAATAATAGGTATTAGTAAAATTCTACTATTATACTAATGCAAATGTTGTAATCCGATTGGCTGAGCCATTAGTGTGCAGTGGCTGATGGTCGTCTAGGAAATGGCGACGTTATTTCGTTTTTTCAAGGTTTTGAAGGAAAATTTTGATGCACTGTGGATAATTAAATTCCTGAGAAGTCTAAACAAAAGACATTTACGTTTTCCTGACTTTTAAAAAAGCTGAAATTATTGAAAAAAGTGATGCACCCACACACAACTTCAATTTTAAATGACAATTCAATCCGAGCGATCTTTTTCAGGCCCAAGGTTTAATAATACGTCAGTAAATAATGGAAACCATTATTTGAAGTCAATTTTGGTAAGAATTCTACTAAAACAATTAGATTATTCGCTCTCGATTTCTATGAGGTGATAGTTGATTCGGCCTTTGGCCTCGTCAACTATCACCTCATAGAAACCTCGAGCTCGTAATCTAATTGTTAATTAGTATAAATCTACTAGCGTTGTATTACGAATGCTGTTCTCCGATTGGCTAGGCTACTCACTATCTATTCTATGATAGTGAGTAGCGTAACAGTGTGCACTTGTTAACAAAATGACGGCCATTTCTTTGCGTTTCGAGCTGTTTGTGAGGAGGATTTAGATAAAGTTTTGAACGACTAGTAGATTATACTAAAACTATTAGCTTGTTCGGTCTCGATTTCTATAGCGGTTTCTATCGTGTGATAGTTGATTTCGCTAGAAATCTCGAGCTCATAATCCAATCCAAAAACTGGAAAGGGTTTTACTCTTGTGAAGAAGAGTTCATTTACATTGCCAAATAGATCCTTGCATACGACGGTTGCTCCCGCAATACGAGAGTCAGTCAAAATCCCAAACGACGCGAAATAGCTAGTCTTTTTCCTCGAAGCTTTAAACAAAAATAAAGAAAATGCTCAGGTTACTTTGATCCCTTTTAATACTTCATTTGAAATTCCTGGGTTTAACCTGACGAGGAACAACACATTTTGTTCAGAACAACACAACTATTATCGTGCCCGGCGACATTCGGCAAAACCACAAGCCAGTTGCTGGACGCGAGCGACTCAGCTGGTTTGGCGCCAAACTGAAAATTTTAGAAATACAGGTGGTCACACATTGCCAGTAGCTAAAAATATTTACTCTATATCCTGGTTTGCTAACGAACAGTCATTTATCTTTATAAATTTCTGTTACGGGGAATACCTCATATAAGCTGTCTCTTATGTAGTATTTAGGTAGTCTGTTGAGAATGGAGTTATGAACCCCGACTTCAAATGTGTTTAAACCTTTTGATATCTTGTGGTTAATTTGCACGGCTGATAATATGACCATAAGAAGCTGTTTTCTTCCTGTCGTAATATGTTTTTTGTTTTTTGTTTTTGTTTTTGTTTTTTACTGTCAATAAACGCCACTGCTCTTTTTAATTAAGGTCGCAGAATTTGTCCCTCTCTGAAAAGCCTGGAGAACGGTTTTATTCACGGACAGCAACTCTGGGAAGGAAACCATGTTTCTTTTACATGTAAGCCTGGTTATTGGCTTACAGGATCCACGGAACGTAACTGCTTGGAAAATGGTACCTGGACAGGAGACCAGCCCCTCTGTGTTCTACTGGGTAATGTACAATGATAATCACAAAAGTTGGAAAATCAGTCAATACTAAACGAGGATTAGCTTGTTGGAAGAATCTTTAAGACCGAGTTTTAAGTGATCTTCCGAAGACGAAAAGTTTAGTCATTAGACAACAAAAACTTCGGTCCATGCCAGAAACCTTGGATCCATTCTCTCTATCACTTCTCCCTCCCCACCCCCTTCTTCTAATCCCGGCAGTATATTAATTTCAACTTTGCAACGCTTTGTGGAATCACGCGGAGATGGCGACAAGCTATAAGCCTCATTTCTACAAGTTCAAATCTCAAAAGCAATCTCAAGATTAGCCCAGTGAACTGCAATCGAATCGGAGTTCACCTTCTGTGAGTAGACACTTTTCTAAAATACCCAGTTTTTCGAAGCCACAAAGCTAATTTCTTCAGGGAATATCTGAATAAAAGTAAAAAAAAAAGAAAAATTGTTTCATGTGAAGATGGTAGTCGCTTATATCATCACTTATCCCT